TTCAAAATGACCAATTTTAGATAGATATATGAATAATATTTCTTTATTTTTTTTGCAGGTTCGAGTTTTGTATGATTTCGACGGCGATATCAACTCGGGAGAGTTGATAGTCTCAACCGATGAAATTTTGACTGTGACACGAACGGTACGTTCTTTTCTCTATTTCAGCGTCTTCCTGACTTTTATAATGACATATTGTTGTGATACAGGATGTAGGAGATGGATGGTGGGAAGGAATGAATCATAACGGCATGAGAGGGCTGTTTCCTGAAGCATATGTCGAGGTGAGAAAATCTCATATTCAAACATAAGGCTAAAGTTTAGTCTTTGCTGTACTACAGTACGCACGATTTTCCTGAAGTTATGCTCAAAAATATTAATATTAAATATCTAAAGCAGGGCATGTTTTTCTTTAATAAAGGTGAAAATTTGGGATTAGCGTTGATATAAACGTTTGGTTATCGTAAACTAAGTTAAATTGAGTTAAAAACTTAAAATATAAGCTTAAAATTAAAATTCGATTCAAACTCATAAACAGAATTGCCCCAAAATCTTGTAACATAAAGTATTTCCATTTCGCTAAAAAATCTCATAATTTAAGTTTACGAAATGTATTGACTTTGTCATTTTGAAGTTTATTGCTGCACAATATTTGGATGATGAATTTTTAATAAACTTTCTGAATGCTCTATTTTGGTCCAGTTTTAATGATGAAAACATACTCATAATTTGTCATAATGAATGAATAAGAAACCTTACTCGGGCTCACTTTTATTAATGAAAAGAAAATAGACTTRTAAACTTTATTTGCTGAACTTATTTGCATTTGGAGACCCACTTTGAGCTATAAACAATATCCGGTTTATGCCATCGGAAATGTATCGGAAACAATCGATTTTATTTCGTATCAATCGATAGTTTTTCGATAGGGTGCAAGCCCTATGCTGTGGGACACTGGTGAAAAACGCACTGCGCATGTCCACAGCTTTCCCGCCGAAATCTGCCTAATTTCCTTTGTAAAGTGATTTTTGTGAAAGTTTTTTTACAATTTATAAGCTCATTCACCGATATATAAGATTCATATTTCCATCAATCATTGTTTATGATAGGTCCTTTTAGTAAATCTTGTCATTTCTATCTTGAAAAAATGAGGTTTTTTGTAGTGTTTTCTGTGTTGTTGCTGTAAATCGCCAGGCGCTCTGTTTACAGATTTCAAGACGCGAGCGCTCACTGGCGAGAAAGCTGTGGGCATGCGCAGTGYGTTTTTCACCAGTGTCATGCTGTGGCAATACACCATTCTTTTAAACAAGTTTTTTTTTAAATCAGTGCTATTATTAACATTTTCTGTGATACTAGTTTATAGAAGATGAGCMACCGCCACCACCCGCACCAGCRACAATRATGCCTCCACCGATGGCACCACCGGCATCCAACTATAGGGCAAACTCCCAGGACCAAGAYGAYGGAGAAGAMTGGGACGACGACTGGGATGATGACAATACTAGTAGCTACTCTGGGGGTGACGCTCAGACATCAACAATGAGAGAGAGAAGTAGCACTAGTTCGTCCATTCAGAGAACTGGGACAGTGAGAAAGAGCATGAACAGGTAATTGAATGAATGAATGAAATTATGAATGGGAAAATGAAGGAATGAATAGATGGACAAGTGGGATGTGAAAGGAAAGATGGATGAGTAGATGGATGGATGATTAAATGGATGAGTGGGAATTGGAACTAGGGATGAGTTGATAAATAAATGGATAGGTGGTGGAATGGAAAAATGAGATTTGAAAGGAAAGATGAAAATGAATAGAAAGAATAGAGGATGAATAATGAATGAATGAGATTTGGGATTACCTATTACCTTTTCTTTATGTATTAACAATCTTTCTTTTAACAGGTTTTCAGTGTTTGTCAAATCAGGRGGAGAAGCTTATCTTCTAGGAACACAAAATGAGAAGGCTGTTTGTCCAGCAGAGGAAAGAGTTGTTGTCACGGCACTGGTAAGTGTAGGTTCTACATTGTAATTGTAATTCTTTTAGAGAACCAAGTGACCAAGTTTAATAAAATTTTGGTTTTGGAAAACTGTTCACTCAGGAAAATCTGCAAGTGGAGTTTCAACTATATTCCTCTTGTATGGTTGCTTTTGCAATGCAATCAATTTCTACCTGGTCTGTACCACAATTAAATATTGTGTCCGTTATAACAAGAGTTGACTGTACTGAAAATAACTCTCTTTACAGCGGACACTCATTATTGCAGACACTTAATTAATGTCCTGAAGGTGTCCATTATAACTAGAGCTAACTTTACTGAAAATAACTATCTTTACAGCGGACACTCATTATTGCGGACACTTAATTACTGTCCCAAAGGTGTCCGTTATCACGAGAGTTGACTGTAATGATACTCAATGTGATGTACCCTTTGTTATTCATGTGCCAACCAGAAGAAGATTGGCTGTTGGAACAAAGCAATTTGTGAAAAGCCATTCTGATCATTAACATAAGAATGAGTTTGTTTATAAACATTGAGTATCACTATACGTAAAAATAACTACCTTTACAGTGGACATTCGCTATTGCGGACACTTGATTACAATCCACATGGTTTCAGTTATACTATAACTAAGGCTTACCTCATTATAATCTCATTACTGTAATACATAACTGACTTTGCATAAAAAAAGCTTGATTCATCCTTGATGTTTGTAGAATGGYGAGGGGTCAGCCTCAATGTCTTGGAAGATCATGGCTCAGCCWTTCTGTACTAAAGTAAGTGAGCCTGAAAAGAAGAGCAAATTCAAGGGAATGAAGAGTTTCATAGCATACAATGTCAGCAAATCAGTAAGTGCATTATTTTATACTAGTTTGTTGCCTTCTTGTATAAGTGGGTTATGGAGTTGCCTTATTTGTGTGTGGGCTTCCTGTGGTATAATTGGGTCAATATGTGTGGGTGGATTCATCCTCGTTTCCAGGGCCTTTCTCTGTCTGACATTTTGAAAAAAGTGAGCAGAGAAGCACTGGGAATGAGGTTGGAGTTGATTGTCGGTTGGGAGAATCTACGTAGCACTCAGTTGATGTAATATATTCATAAAGATATAATACAAAACACATAATACAATAGAACGAGAAACAAAGGAATACAATACATTTTATGAATACATTACATCAACTGCGTGCTACGTAGGTCACCCCATTGTCGGTTAGATGTGGTAAATTTATTATCTTTGGGTTTCCTGTGGTATGTGCATGGGTTTCCTGTCGTATGTGCATTGTATACTGGGAATACATATTGGTTAGCTATGAGTGTATAAATATGATTATTTGGGTCCATTACTTGTAGAATTCCAGTACTGTGGTTAGCAGAAGATTCAAACATTTTGATTGGCTGTTTAATCGCTTGGTTGAGAAGTACACACTCATCTCCATTCCTCCTCTGCCAGATAAACAAATCACAGGTACAAAGTGACAATTTACAATAAGAAATTAAAGTACTAGTACCCTAGCTTCTAAAAAGAGTAGAAAAAGATGCAGGTTGTCAATTAACAAGTGGCAACAATGAACGCCTTGAATATCCAATTTTGGTTCATTCGCCACAAAAGTTTTGTCCATGATTGTAGATTTACACTGCGTCAACAGTGGAAAAACATTTTTAAAACTAAGGTCTTTTGCAATGTACTTGTCTTTAAGGTCGTTTTGGAGAAGATTTTATTGAGAAAAGAAGAGAAAAGTTGGAGATATGGTTAAACCGCATCTGCCAGCATCCAGTATTATCAACTTGTAAAGTAGTCRACCATTTTCTAACGTGCTCAGATAGTGAAAAGGTATGGACAACTGAAGATACATATAACGAAGAGAACATTAAAAGCAATTGCGTGCTTGATTTTGGGATTTCAAATGTTGCCATGATATACGTATATACTGACATTTTATTCAAACATCATAAATCTTTCTTACTCCCTGCTCATTTAATAGTTCTTTGCGAGAAGGGTTTAGGTACAAGCTTTATAAAAGCTAGATTGTTACTTTTAGAGAAATCATATGACTTAACGATAATTTTCTTATTCAGGAATGGAAGGCAGGGAAACGAAAGGCAGAAAATGACAAATTCATGGGTGCATCATTTTTCAAAACAGTTGATAACCCACCTACTAAATTATCTATATACGCTATGTAAGTTATTGTTTGTCTTTTAGCAATTATTGGTTGAGGTTGAAAATGATATGAAGAATTATTGGTTGAGGCTGAGTATGATATGAAGAATTATTGGTTGAGGCTGAGTATGATATGAAGGATTATTGGTTGAGGCTGAGTATGATATGAAGAATTATTGGTTGAGGCTGAGTACAATATGAAGAATTATTGGTTGAGGCTGAGTAAGATATGCATAGCAAACAATTGCCTAACATTCTCGCGGGCTACCTGTGTCTTTTGTGATTCCTTATTTTCAAGGATGGGAGGGGACTAAGACAAAATTATAATGGCCGACATGTCGAAAAGCGATTTCTCTGCAAATTCTGTAAGTTTTAGCCATTTTAAAGCACTAAAATGTGGAAAAAACTTGAAAAAAACTTTCTAACGTACTTCCTTATAAGGTAAGATTACCATATATGGTCAGCAAAAGTTTGTCAAACGAATGAATTTTTCTCTGAGGCAATTGTTTGATATGAAGAATTATTGATTAAGGCTGAGTATGATATGAAGAATTATTGGTTGAGGCTTAGTATGATATAAAAAATTACCAATTGAGGCTTAGTATGATATAAAAAATTACCAATTGAGGCTATCAAAAATTATTGGTTGGGGCTGGCTGTGATATGAAAGAGATATAAGTTAAGGCTAAGCATGATATGAAGAATTAGTGATTGAGCACTTGAAAAGATAGTCTTTTGTGCAGCCTTTTTAAGGGACAGAAAGCCCTAAAAATTGGGTCACACAACTCCCTTACTTTCGTGACCAAAACTGAACACGGCTGCAAGGGAGACTGAGACAAGCTTTTTTCATCTTTTGTAGCGAACAATACGTTGACAATTTTGGACGGTTCGTCAAGTCARCGGAGGACAGCGTGAAAACAATGATTGACAGATCAAACACGCATTGTGAAAAGTGTCTTGGATGTAAGTATGTCGTTGATGATTTTAGAGTATAGTTATTCAGAAACGGCGGTTATTCGACTTTCATTTACAGCGTCATTTGCTGGAGCAAAGCATGATGGGAAATTTAGACCTCACATTTTATATGTCCGCTTAAAAATCCGTCAAATATGTTTTTATGCTTTCTTTAATAAAACGGCTTAACTGATTAGCATTTTTTCAAAGAAAGCGCGAAAAGGATTAAGGGAATTATTCAAACACCGCGCGCATTACCATTACCGTCATGYACTGCAAGAGAAAGTTTGTCATCGCTGCGCACTTTTTCTCTATATTGGGATCAATYCCAAATATTTCTTCTTTATTAATTTCAGCTTACAAAACGGAGTATAAAAAAATTGGTTCAACCTTCAGTGGTCTTAGTCAGGCTTTCTCACTCGAAGACAACACAGATAGTAAGTGCGTGTGTGATGAGTTTTAAAATGTCYTATGTTGGGAAGCCTGTGTTAATTTATTTCGGTATTCATTGAGTTTKCTGTCCGCACTTATGGCGTTCAGCGAAATCAACTTCTTTCTTTAGATTTGGGATTCCTGTTTTATGATGTCATTGAAATGTGCTTGTGTTTCTATGGTAGTGTTGATACTTGCGATTTTTTTAAAGAATATTGTGGACATTATACAGTCAACTCTCTCGTAAGCGACCACCGCGGGATCAGGGCAAAGTGGTCGCTTACGAGAGATGGTCGCTTACGATAATTTTTTTTTTTACGAAGTTTACATGGAAAACTGAACAAAACGGGAAATTTGAAAGGTGGTCGCTTACGGGAGATGGTCGCTTACTAGAGTGGTCGTTCTAAAAGATAGTCAACTGTATTTAGAACGCGATTTACYGTCGTAACAATTAAAAGCCAAGTCTCTAGTTAGCAAGCTTTGCCCCCTGCTTTGCGACTTTTGGACGTAGTAAGTTATCTTAAACGTCAGATAAACTCACAAATCTGCTTAAATTTTACTCGTTTTCATATTTCCTGCTAAACCGTGGCTGGCAGCCGTGCTAATCTGAAGCTTACCTCCCACAGATCGTTAAAACAACAAACTAGGAAACTAAAACCAYCCATCCAAAACACTTTAATCGACTTAAAGTATCGAGAATTCAATCTTTCCACATTTTACGCGGTTGAGGTCTGTTTTTTTGTTGTGGTCAAATAACATCAGTTGGRTASACAAAGAAATATTTGTCTGAGAAATAGCTTGAAATCATTTTTGATTGTTTAATAGTGATTATGAGTTAAGTAATAAAGGATAGATTGTTTATTTTTTAAAAAAAGAGCGGGAATCCGTGCTCAACAATACTTTTGATAACGCATATCAAAAGTGGCCTTATTTCACTAATAAACGCAGGCAGTCCATCCTTTAATGGTTTTGAAATATACAAAGATGCTGTTCTTCGAGAGCGCGCTTTTATACCATTGAAATAAAGCACAAACCAATTTGACCGAGAGCGCGAAAGAACCGTGAATCTATATTTAAAAGAACAATAACAAAAGTGCGTCTTGTTGACAAGTGGGCAGTCTGCTGTATTCTTTTACTATTTTTCAGTAGATATTGGTGATGATAACTAAAAGTGTAGATTTTATATTTTAGACAATGACTCCTCCTCATCCAACAATTTTGAATGTTAAATTATGACGTCATACATTCAGCAAGTTTCGATTTTGARCTATAACATCATGCACAGTGCAACAAATTTTGATTTTAAACTTTAACCCCATGCACCATACAACAATTTTAGATGTTTCAGTATATAAGTCATTTAGTTGATAATAACATTCGAAGAAAAACCCTCATTATTCTTGAGAAGTTAGGAGAGTAATAATATAGTAAATGCGGCCAGATACTGTTGTTAGATGGTAAATACACTTTATATGTAGTCGAGTTTTCGCTGTTACTACAGCATCATCAAATAGAGGATATTACATAGGCGCGCGGAGATACGGATTTTTTTCTTCGAGTGTTGGAAAGATCTCTCACGAGTGAGCGTAGCAAACAACAACACGAGAAGATAAAATTCGTATCTCCAAGCAACCATGTAATATTCTGTTTATCATATAATTACATATGAAAGCAAGTTATGCCGTAAAATAGCTTTTTTCTTACTTCCACTATATAGAGAAACCTCGAATGTGTTATTTTCACTAGTGAAGATATCAACTTTACGAGATGGAGAAATATTAGGTATTTCATAGATAGTTCTGTGATAAATGTAATTTCAAAATGAAATATGATGATGATGATGATGATGATGATGATGATGTCAATCATCCTTCACACTTTTCACTCACCTCTTAATTTTTTATGTTATTTTAGTCTTATTCCTTTGCAAAATCTGACTTTGTTATGCGCAGTGACTCGTCGAGTTCGCTGATATGTTTTATTTCTGATAAAGTGACTGATAATTTGTGGGCATAGGTCAAATCCATCTTGTAAAAGATTTCTATCTTTTTAATTAACTGTAATCCCGTCCCAAACTGGAACACGTCTATGCGTGTAAGCAAGTTCGACGTGAAACTAAATCTTCCCCTTGCGTCTTTGGTGTATATAGCTATAGTGAACTCCCGGACCTTAACAAACACCCGGAGAGGAYCTGGGAATTAACACATTTTAGACGGGAATTCAGCACTGTTTTGACAGCATCATTTTATGGGGAAGTGGGTGAAATTAACGTCCAAAATTAAAGGAAATTTTGTGTTAAGCCGCCTTTTTTTGTCGCTGAAGTTCGGGAAATGCCGTGACATTCCATTATTATATTGTTAAAGTGTAGTTTACGCTGTATTGCCCGGGGGATGGGGGAGGGGGGGGGGACCTGGTTTCAATTGTCCGATGCATTGTTAAGTATCATGTAATGATGTAGTGAATAGGAAATTAAAAGCTAATATTGTCGACCGACATCCTTTTCGAGGTTTTCTTTATGTTTTTAAAATTAAATACATCTTATATAAGCAAAAACTTAATTTTATTATCCCTTTATGCTAGCTGTGATTGGAGATATTGTAAGATTCGAACTTAACGAATGGAAACGGATTACGAATGGAAATTAAAGTTACCTGGCGTTTTCCGTATATGAAAAAACTAAAACACGACCGCATTGAATGCTGGTTGTTCGTGGACCTTTAACGGATTGACAAAATGACCAAAGAATGGTATTCCGTGCATATGGTCAATAGTTTTATAAAGATTTTCGCTAAGTTCTTACCTTATATTGTGTTATGTGGCAATACTGCACTATTTGGTATGCTGTATTGAACATTTTTTGAAATAACTGTATTTATGTTGAGGTTCTTGGACGTTTGAACCCAGAAAGRGTGAGATTCGTTTGTTTCTGCTCTTTTTTACTCGTTCGGAAGAAAATATAACTAGTRGAACGTTCAGATCGCGCTGCATTTAAATAAAATCAGTATAAGTTCACACAATCAGTATAAAGGCCCGTTTACACTTACGATTTKTGAAGTGCGATTGTCGCGCGACTCGCGGCGATTTTCGATCGCTGCGACAATCGCAGGGCTGTTTGCGGTACTAAKACACGATATTGCCGGATTTAACGTTTGAGAAAGAAATCTGAATCATATATATGCTTTCTCGATTAAAATGTATTGCTTTATAACAGCTATTATGAACATTAACAGCAAGGGATAGCCCCGATCATTAGATACAAAATATCTGACCACTAGACAAGATGTTGCACTAAAGCTGTACAAAATATGTTGTTGTCTTTGTTGTTGTTTTATCTTTCCCACGTTTTCTACTGTCGCATTTTTGAGATAAATATACTCATTTTGATGTAGGAAGTAATTTCTTGAGAGAGAGAAGTTTTCGCGCCAATGTATTTAATGAGAGTATTTAGTACTTCAAAGATATAGCTATGTAAATATCATTACGATTTCTTTATTCATTTCAAGAACTCATTAGAAATTTAATATCCAGTTTTATTACTTACATTGTTCATTATTTTTCGAAAGTGGTTACAATTTGTAAGTGTTGAAGTTTTAGTTTAGAAAAAACTCCGAAATCTTATTTTRTCGGGTATTGTGGGGTATGCATGCCMTCTATCTTTTGTTTAAGCGTTGCATAGCGTTAGGTTTATAATTAGATATAAAAAAAATGAAAAACCTTTTTTACAACTAAGTATTAAGTGCTTTTGTAACTTGATTTCAAGCTCTTCAAATCTAAGGTTTAACTTCTTTGAACACTGACAAAAACCGAGTCATATCGTTTAAAGCTTTTTTTCCTGAGTTTCARAGGACTACTGTTGTACGTGATTTGATTTGATTAAATTCAATACGAAAAGATAAAGAACAATTTCTAATCATTGAAAAAACAGTTCCGAATTCTATAATGTTGGCCACATTTCATTTCAAAGGCATATTTGATGCTTGCAATAATCAAGGCTTGCTTTGTAGTTTTTTTTGATTAAAATTGCAAAGTGTTTGGTGTTTGTATCTTGACATGATTATAAGCCCGGTGGACTAATCAGCCTTCAATCCAGGAATACGGATTACAAGGTATCCAATAAGAGGACGACTTGGTATCTGAAATCCCTGTTAATCCCAGCCCTAATCCACGGCCGCTGTCAATAAAAAACGATTCTTTTCATTTTCCTTTATCTTGCTTAATCCGTCTGAATCCCACATGGTTGTAGTAATCCGGATCTCTTAAATCCCTTTTGTCATTGGAAATATCTTGTTCCTTAAGACATCCTTTGTGCGATATACGAGGAAAGGCTTTTGCAAGCATATGCTCAGCGCAACAACACGTTCTAGTTCTGCTCGAAAGTAGGATGGAGTTTACGTTCAGAACCCCAAACGGACGCGTTAAACACGCTTTTAATCCAACTACCAGTCTTAAAGTTGTTAAAGATGTCATAGGAAGCAGTCTTGGTATTGCTGTAGCYGAGTTATTGATTGGTTTTCCACCGAAGCCTGTGCGAGGAACTACATTGGAAGCTATAAGCAACAATGAAGTCATCACTGTGGCCGAAGGTAATAGCTCTTTCTCGTTTTACTTTAGTTGTTGTTGTTTATGATGAAAGATTGTTATACACTTGTTGTAGAACGCTTCAAACTGTGTCAAAACACATACGCAGGCTTTATCCCTTCAAACACTTTGAATAAGGCAAAAAATCAATAAAACCTCAATCTTGGTTTCTCTCGCACTAGTTTCTCTCGCACTAGATAYAGCGTATCGTCTAGGCTCTCAACAACAAGAGGTATTCTATAGATGATTGCTAAGAATYGAATCAAGCTAAAAAGATTCTAACACTCCAAAATATGTGGATTAAAAGTGACAATAACTATGAAAMAACCTGAAGAAATAAAGTATTTTCAGTATCTTTCTAAAGTTACCAAAAAAAAAAATCGTTTAGTCTGCGGTAAGTTTTGCATGTTTCGTACAATGGGCAAACAACTATAAAGTGGCTCTTGATATAAATTGTGTTGTGTTCTTTTCAAATATCTTGGTACAAAAGACGCAGTGATTAACACAGCTACAATGGCTTCACTTTATTAAGTTTATTTTTCAAACTCAAAATCTTCGGCATGTTTAACTTTATTAAAATCCAAGAAGTTGGAAAGACACACATACAAGGGGACAGCTGTGTAGACTTAGTTGACGCTGTATGGAGAGCTGGTATAAAAAGCGAGTACCAAAGGCCTTTTTTTAGACAATAGTTGCAAACATAATTTAATTGACTCCTTAATTGATATTTCATTAAACCAATTTTGCCAAAGATTCGATAATTTCTTATCATTTTCGTTACTGTTATTATACATATATTAAATCTAAACTTATACTAAATTATTTCCAGGTCCCGAAGTTGAAATTGTCAAGATTAAAGAAGAGCCACAAGAATCCCGTCAGGTGCGGGATCATCCCGTTCGCGTCCTCGAGGCCAAACGTCTCATCGCTGCCGAAATCAACCATCAAAAAATCGCTCAAAAAGTCATCTGTAGGGTGATCTTAGGGGTGTCCCAGGGTCGGCTTTGTCAGCTCATGCAAGACACAGCCTATGATAACACGATCATCTGTAAGCCGTACCCAAATAAATCTCTAGAGCATTACCACAAGATTTACGAGTTTTTGACTCAAAGAAGTCCCATGGAACGCTATAATCTTTATTGCTCGGCCGCGTGGAGAATCGAGAAAGAGCGACTACAGAAAAAAGAGGCATACAATTGCGCGGCAATGGCGCCACCTTCGACTTCAAGCGGTGAGCTACGAGTTTCGCCTCGTCTTAGGATTGGAACTCGTGGGAAAAGGACATACATTCCCAATTTTGCCAAGAAAGCTATGGAAAACTACTTCATTAATACRAGTCGTTTTATAACYCAGGAAACGCGKGAGTTTTTCGCTCGGCAATTGAACCTCCCGGAAGAAACCATTCAATTTTACTTCAAGAATTTGAGAGCCAGRGAGAAAAAAGGATCGTTTGTCCCTGTCAGTTAGGTCATGGACGTCTAGTTTGTCATTTAAGGTGTAAATATTCTTTGTGAAATATAARAATGACACTTTTTTTTAAGTCGTATAGAGACAATATGGGATCTATGTCCCTGTTATGGTCGTTAAGTTTGWCAATAAAAACGTAAATATTTGTAAAATGTAAAAACGAGACTGTTTTTCTGACGTTTTCGTTTAGATAAAATGATTGTTATAAGTTAGAGTTCAAATTTGATACAAATTTSTAAAGATAATACAATAATGTGATGTAATTTGTCGCAACTTTCTCAAATACTGCAGCATATTTACTTTCTTTGTCCGTATTTTTGGTCAACACRCGTTTGGGGTGCGTGCATTGTCGCGTATTCGCAACCTTTGTCTCTCTCTCTAAGCTATGCGATACGTCGGATAGTTTCGTTACGGAAAGTTTGCTGCTTACGCTAGRAACGCAACGTATAGGTGCAGCTACTAAGATAAAGCGCGACGCACGTCTTCAATCTATGTGTTCTGTAAGTCAGTTTCATACGCAAAAWCTAACTCAAATCCTCAAGAACGTTTACGTCTTCGTGTGCGTTTTCCGTAATCGTCTGCGAACGTTTTTTTGTTAATTAATCTTTGCATTTCAAGGAGTGYGGGCGAATTCGATATCAAACGTATGAACCGCCTGCTTGTTGAAACGCATCACTTGTTTAGCGTTTTCGTACAAATCCTTTTGTACCTTACGGAAAACCTACTGCCCTCCTATGCAACCGCATCTTGAGAGGACGTGACGAAACAAGTGCCGGCTGCACACGAGGCTGAAGCCTATAAATTTTAGTTTGGAGTCAATCCAGTATTGTTATAAAATGTATGGGAAGGCATTTTGTAGGCATCGTATATTCTGGTAAATCCTCGAAGATTTAGATCTGTGACAATCAGAAAAAATTAAGTRATTTTCAAAAGTCCGCGAAGCAAAGTATAATAACCGCAGTGTACTGATGTGTGATGAAGAAAAACATTCACAATAGAAAGTAATATAGTGTAGTAATTATAACTATCACAGACGTTAATTAATAATTATTTTGTGCGTGTATTTCACGGGTTACTGTGGTTTTCATAAACCCGTGAAATATACTTAGCTTCACTGCGATTTTATAATTGTAATTGTGTATGTTTSTCATTGTCTTTTTGTCGTATCACTYTTTACTTTGACTTTGACATTTTGTTTCACGGCTTTTTGGAATTTCCTCTACAGGCCCGTTTACACTTGCGATTTTTGCAGAGCGATTCTAGCGGCGATCGTCGCGCAACCATCGCCTGAGTTTCGAAGACATGCTTGAAAATTGGCTGCAACTTCGCGGCRATTTTCCAYCGSCKCAACAATCGAAGGGATGTTTACACGTACGATTTTAGTTGCGCGATAGMAAAGTCGCGAATATCGCGCTGCAAAAATCGCAAGTGTAAACTCTCTMTGAGCTACAATTGTAGCATGGTTATTGAACTTCGACCAAGAAAGAATAACAAGACTTACACTGTACAGTTATTATTAATTTTCACACTCGTTGTTTTCCTCCCGCAAACCAGGCATTATTTTATTTCACGGACAACGGAAACCTACTCYAGTATTCCTTCGTTGACATGGTTTTTTGGTGGGGCGCACTTGGAATTCAGGAATTTTTCAAAGCCAATGATAGCTGTCAATTAAGGTCGATTGTCGTCWTTTTATTAGCCTGACCCCACCCTCCTAATAGCTTATCAGTAGGGTTAGTGGGTTGATCTATTAATCAGTTTACTTGTTAAGACTGACAAGAAACCTGATTATCTTGGCTGTTTTTTACAGGCTGGTCCTAAAGCCTTCTTATATATCCTTTCTTAAACCACAGAGAGTATTAAAAAAGTGACGTGAGGGTTTTCTAAACGAAGGGCATGTTTTAGGGTGTTTATYYTTGCATATGTTTAGGTTTCATTAGCTGGTAAAACCTTGTTTTATTGCGTTTATTTGGCTGCTTTGTACTGTATGAGTCAAGTTAACCAATTTACAATTTCTGAGATGGCGTTGGCGCTTTTTAAAAAGCATTTCACAGGCTCGAAAAAGCGCGATTTGCGGGCAACAATATAACAAGCATTGAGCTTGTTTACGTAGGCTCGCCTGCGATAATTTTGAAAGCGCTTGCGCATCGTAGAAATCATCTGTTTGGGGAAAGAATGCAAACAARACTTGATTTTTGATCAACTTGTATAGTCTATCGTATCCCACACTATCTTTGCATAAGTATTTTTATGGTACACTTCTGAGGAAGGACACATTACCGTGGGTTTCGGAGGATGGTCGTAAATGTGACCTCTATCTTAACTTTATTGCATTCATTTTTGTCTAATATTTCAGTGATATTTGTCATTTATTAAGTTTATTCATTCCTTGTTTCCAGRCTCGCGATCGTTAACGGAGGCCATTGACCATACTGGAAGAACATACGATGACATCGGAGAAATGTTTGCCGAACAGGTACTCGTGCTTTGCTTATGTTTGCTTGTTTTCTCTCCTCTCTTTCTCATCTCCATTCATTCTTTTTCGTTTGCTATTTTGTCTGTTTTGTGCATGTATAATTCGCTTTTCGTTAACATGTTTGTTAATTAATTCACTATATAAACAAATGATTTGTTTATATGTACGCATGTTCGCATGGTCTTTCGTCTGCCGCTCGTTTGTTCGGGGTTTGCTCGTTTGTTCGCTCGTCTCGTTTTCGGCGGTTGTTCGTCTGYTGATTTTTTTCTCTTTCTTTTGTTSTTACCGTATTTTTCTGATTGTTTTCAGCCCAGAGAGGATTTCGTTCCATTAATGGAAGGCTTAAAAGAGTATTCTGGTATGTTATCTACGTATCCCGAGATTCTGCAAGTTCACAAAAGCTCCGTAGCAAAAGTAAAAGATTTACAGAAACAAAAAGATGACGAGAAAGTCGAAGTAAGTACGCAGACTCAACTACTATTTCTTCATTCATATCATACTCAGCCTAAATCAACAATTTTTCATATCATACTCAGCATCAAACAATATTTTTTCATATCATACTCAGCATCAACCAATAATTCTTCATATCATACTCAGTGTCAACTAATAATTTTTCCTATCATAATCATCCTCAACCAACAATTTTTAATATCAATCTTGAATTGTTATATCGTTGTGGCTACACCCAGTCTATTCCTTTGTGTTCAGGATGAAGTCTTAGAGGAAGTCTGTGCTCGCGCCGATACGATAACAGCAGTCTCATTCGGTAAGTCCATTAATTTGATTATCTGAAATCGGTAGACATTGCGGTAGACTTGCCTACCACTCTTTTTTTCTCAGTYACAATTTGTATTCATTATTTTCGAGTGACTAAATCGCGATAA